TGAAATACTGCTTTCTGTCCATGGTATAAAAGGTTGGTTTACACGCACCCACATTTGTTGGCAAGATTTTGCAAAGTAAACTTGTCGAACGCCAAAACGTTGGTCTGATTTTTTTCTAAGCCTAATTGATCTACGGTGATCAATAGCCATTACGGCTCTTAAATGTGATAAAAGATGATTACCAGTTTTTGAGTGTACATATGAGGCTATCAACTCGATGTAAGATTTGGTTCACTCTTGGGCTGTTTGCAAATTATTTTTCTCTAAAATCAGGTAGCCTTTCCCTCAAAAGTCACATAAATGTGCTCTAAAGTTAACTGAATTGTGGAATTCGAATACAAGTTTATTGTTTAATTTAAATTATAAATTTACTAATGGGAGCCTCGCTTTTAGCCCTGGCTAAATCTATATATTATTATTATTATTATTATTGTAATAAAAACGGGAGCTCCGCTTTTAGGCTTGGCGAAATATATATATTAGAAAGTTGTGGAAGATTCGTGTGGAGCCACAGAAAACATAATCACTAGTCCTTGATATTGAGTTAAAGGGTTTATACTAAAGTTTTTTCCCCCTGAGCCGCCCTAATTAACACAAAGGCACTATATTAATACTGTTTTGATATTGTTTTCCAGCATCTGTAGAACAAAAATAATTGCATCGGGCGACGTGCACGACTCAATGGCTTAAACAACATGAGCAAAGTGTACGCCTGGATGCTAGCTATGTTACCATTTTTTTTTTTTGTAGGGATAGAACCATTCCTGTAATGTGTGAGATGCCGTGGGACGTAGGTACTGGGAGAAAGTTAATATTAAACAATTAATTCATTCCATCTTATTATCAACAGAAAATGTCTTAATTCTCTGAGAAAAAAAAATATTACAGTAGAGTAGAAAACTAAAACAGTAATAACAAATTCGTTGTTTTCTGCATGTTCCAACCTTCCTTAAAATGTAAAATAAGCGTTCCCAGCTCGGAGAGGAGTGATATCTCTTGTCATGAATGAGCGAGTAACACGGCACATTCCAAAACTACACAATAGAGAATGCAACCAAGCGCGCATGTCGTGATAACCCAGTGAGTGGCTGGGCGTGTTCCGAAACAGGAGAGGCCTAGGTGGAGTCGAGTGTCAATCATATTTAGTCTGGGACCAGGTTCTGCTAACTCATACTAATAATTACCCTACCTTGCAAAGGCTTCCAGTCACACCCAAATATAAACTTCACCGAATCACAGGGAAACCTGTAAACTAAGCCGTCTTGCTTAAGGTCTCGGTAAATGAAAATTTTAGTACATTGCTCGATTTTGTTTTTTTTTTGGATTTTTGGCATGAGTGGGTCCTAAATTTTATTTTGACAGAAAAAGAAAATCAGAAAGTGCTTTTTAACCCTTCTAAAATGAATTTTTTCTGTTTCCCGCCATAAGTTGCTCGCGAAAAGTGATTGACAGCCCCTGTCTATTGCGTGACACTCACTCTATTTTAGACGCAAAAATCAAAATTCTCCGACCTCCAGTCGGGACAGGTTTTAAGCTATCGCTTTGAAACTTTCAGATATGATGGATAATGATATAGACTCAGAGAGGGTGTGAGGAATTTTCCGATTTCCCTTTGTAACTCATTTTATGTCAGTTTCTTTGCGTAAATCGCGCTCGAGATTCGACTTTTTAGTTTGAAATGCAATAATTCCGCTAATACGAGACATATGCAAATTTCCTCACACTCTTTTTTAGGTCTTTTATCTATCAATCAGATGCAATAAAAAGGAAGTGAATATTTAACAACGCGAAAGGGCTGGAGCTTCAGCAGTAAACTCGATACCTTTGAGATCGAGAGCAAAAAACTTAAGCGCCTTTTGAAATTCGAGGAAATAAAATCTTTTATAAGGTAATTTAGTTTTAGGTTACGCACTGCTGCTTGGCTTCATAGTTTCGGCAAAAAAAATTTCTGCGAGAAAAAAAAAAGAGGAGTAGCATTAGAAACAAGGACAGATTGGAAGATATTTGTTTTCTCCTTGGAGATAACAGATCGTCTGCCACAAGATGTCGGTGGGGCTCGTAAATATACTTACCAATACAACGTGTTATTGATTGCTGGTGGTGTAAAACACAGGCTAAGCCAATTACCCATCAGTGCATTATGTTAGCTTCCTTTATAAGCTGGTAAAGAGGTGTTCGTCTGGTTGCCTTAAAAAATGTGTGTCCAGAAGGAAGGTGAGTTTTTTGTTATTCTTCGTCTCCATGGTGAGGGGGATTCAAGGCTGATGGTTGTCATTCCCAGATGCTGTAAGACTCTATATATGGACGTTAATGGGATCCAGAATGATGGCTTGTAGTATGATGTACTTCTTGCCTGTTCTTCGAAACTCTCCATGAATGTACAGGTTAGAAATTTCAGCGAAGGCCTTAAGGACCGCCTGGGGGGTCACTGCGCCCTCTGTTGGTTAAATGACCTGATGCCTTGCATGTAAAGTATGTCGATCTTAGCTTGAAACGTACGACGAAAGTGATCTAAAGTCGTACTGTTGTGCAAGGCTAAGGTCTTTCTCTAGATTTGGCTGAAGCGCAGTTTGCACAACGAGGCCGATTGGAATATTTGGAAGACAAACACCGTTATTCCATTTGTCTAGGATCATTTCACCTTAAAGGTGGATAAGAAGTTGGCTGAAAGTTGGCTCGATTACGTTAGTCACCGCAAAGTCCAATTAACCTGTTAAAATTAAAGGAGACAATTTTTGTTTAGTAAGCGAATACATCATGTTTAAAGGTGTTAACGAATGACGTCACAGATCTTAAAAGTCTTCGGTAAACCGTATATTACAGATGGCCGTTAGAACTTATCTCCCGAATTGCACACAGTTTGTTGGACCTTAGGTACTTCATATAATGCACACAATTATTTGTTATTTCCATACTGCTTCACGTTGGAAAGAATTGCATGCTTTACGTGTGCATCAATGTGTGTATCTGAAAATTCGGAACTGGTCGAGCCACCAATCATTTCCGTGCATACCACGTTGTAATAAGCTGATCTGCTGGATTGCGTCGGTTTGGCCGAGGCCAGTTCTGACTTGTGGTTAAAGTCTTTTGAGATTCCATTTATGTGCGTTTCTGATCATGATTCATTGTTTGTTTCCAGTTCTGAGTTCTGATTTTGACTTTCTCTGATAGGTTGGCGCTTTGGCTTTGCTTTTAAGTTAGCAGCTTTTTGAACGACTTCCGGATCAGTCGAGCTAGAAAGAGTTGACAAGCTGTCAAACTAAAACACTGACAGACTGCCAGTTTGAAAGATTAACAAGTTAACAAACTAGTAGTCTGACAGTTTGATAGACTGACAATCTGGCCCACTGACTGACAGACTGACAGGCTATCCCGAAAGACTACCATAAGTCGACAAGCTGATAGGCTGACTGGCTGACCAACTGCCTTGCAAGCAGGCAGACTGGCCTACTGTTTTGCTTTTTGACAAGCCAAGAGACTGACAAGCTGTCAAGGTGACAGGTTGACAGGCTCACAAGCTGACATAAAAATTTATTATATCAACTGAGCAACCAACGTTTCAAGCGCTGGCCCTTCAACAGATTGAGGAGCTGACAGACTGACAAGTTGGTAGCTGACTGGTTGACAGACTTTGACGGGCTAACAAGGTAACAGACTGTCAGTCTGACAAGATATTACAGGCTGACAGGAAGACAGGCTGACTTGCGAACAATCTAACAAGCTGACAGGCTTCAAGGCCGACAGGCTGTCAGACTAACAAAGCTGATTTGTTGACAAACTGACAGGCTGAGAAGCTGTCAGATTGTCACGATAAAACGGAGGCTAACTGCCTGACAGTCTGATAAACTGACAAGCTATTACAGGTTGACAGACTAAGAGGCAGACAGAAAGACAATCTGACAGGCTGACAGGTTGATCGTCCGACAGGCTGACAGACTGAGTAAATAACAAGCTAACGCTTTGAAAGGCTAATATAAAAAGCTAAAGTACTAAATGCCGATAAGATGACAAGATGACAAGCTGATCTTGCTGTGTACTACCTTTTATCCGAGATGTGGTTTTCTGATAAGAGACAAAAAATAATTAAACAAGTTGTAGAGGAAAAAGTCCAAATAAATTAATTATTTAATTATAACTTAATCACTCAATTACTAACAATTAATACAAGAAAAAATACTTACAGTGCTATTATAAAAAATGGTTATCTGCACCGTCTCCAGTTGTTCTTCTGCTGATGGCGTTCGCGGCTCAGCAAGCGTAGGGGTGGGGGCTGTCTCGTTTATCTCCAGAGCTAAGACGTAATAGCAATTATCGCAGTTATAAACACGCACGGCTAAGAACCTGGTTTTTAGGAACCTGTTAGGCTACAATTTGCCAGTTAGGACCCTTATATACAAGAACCTGTTTAGCTTTAAATTTGAAACAGGTTCTTATTTCCTAAAATCTATGAAAAAGTCCTGTACACTTGAGGAAATAAGATAAGTCAACATTCAGAATCCTATTTGGAGACATAGATGTCTTATCATTCCAACTGCAATGTAATAGAATGCAGATTTCATATAAGGAATAAACTGAATATCACGTCGCCGGTTTTAACTTTCTTATCTTCTTCCTTCAGTGAAGCCCCATTCGACTGTTCAAAAGGTGTCGGGCCGTGGCCATGAAATCTTAAATAGCAAAAATCTCTATACCCGGCAATTCAAGGACACTCATTATTTGAAAGCTTTTTCGATTCTTCCCAGTCAGATCTTACTCATGCTAACGATTACTAGAGTTCTGAAGATCATCGCTTAGAATTCGGACGAGGATTTTCTACACCCGTCTCTGGCGACAAACACCTTACTGAAGGTGACTGTAGTAATTCTTCGTAGAATAAAGTATTTTTTCCAATCTCAAGCTGAAGGCTTCTTGGAATATTTTAATCGAAAGTTTATCTTAAGTCTAATAAAGATACTGTTCGTCAAATAATTGGCCATATGTGTCCCCATTACATCATTACCTCTGCATTGCCCATCAATAAAGAAAAGGTTCTCTCCACAGTCACATCTGTAAGTACCGATGTCATTGATGCACCTTTGAACGTCCGTGCAGTTAAACAACCTGTCATCTACACACTCATTAATATCTGGAAAGTAAAAAAAATGTGGAATACTTCAGTTTTTGCCAATTTGAACACTAACTTAAAGGACATCTTTATTGGCTATTTTGGAATCCCCCATATTGCACTCTGTTTACCCGCCCGCCCCTAAATGCTGCATAAAGTTTTGTTTTCAATACTCTACGGAATATGCAATTTTCTCAGGAGCATTTGAAAACGACAGGTTATGCATAATTTGGGGGCAGGGGGAATAAACAAAGCGTATTATGGGAGATTTGGAATTATGAAAAACTGAATCATTGGATGATGCGATTCTAGAGCTCTGATTGGCTTAGCCATCATGGTATATGAGCCATTATATCGTGCTTTCAAAATAGGGTAACTGTACGCGTTTGCTCAAAAATGAAAAGCAAACCGAAAATCGGTTGTTTTAACAAATAAAGTCGGGAAACCTGATTCTCGATATTTTGAGGGCGTTTTTAATAACACAATTATTCCACTCGCGATTTTTGGATATGACTGAAATGATTATAGCCAACTCGGCGCTAGACGCTTCGTTGGCTATCTCCCATCTAATATCCAACGCGCACTCGTGGTATAATTGTTAAATAGACAAAAAGATGGATATGCTCCCTAAAACCGTGATCCTTAACGCTTCCTTAGAACTGAATTTGTTACTTTGTTAATGGAAAAAAAGACCAAAATATTACCATCACAAGTGTACCCATCGCCGGATAATCGATATCCTGCTGGACAAGAGCAATCATATCCTCCAGGGATATTTTTACAGATATGGCTACATCGATGGAGACGCTTATCCGGATCACACTCGTTGATGTCTGAGAAAAAAATGCTTAATATAAGTATATCCCATCTAAAGAGCTAACATGCACAGAAGACATCCCTTAGTGTTTAAGCCTTGGCGACGTGTGGGTGAGTGAAAATAAGCGAGATTTACATGCTGCAGCAAATCGATTCTGGATTTTGTGCATTTTTTGTGGTGAAAATGTGAGTTCCCTGAGACCCACGTACCTACAAGCTACGCACTGAAATAGGTTATCGTGCTTTGAATGATACACCGTCTGGTCTCTACGTAAAGTTGGATTTTGGGTAAGAAAAAATCTAGTATGCACGAGAAAGAGCATTCGGAAGCCTGTTCAGGATAGGTTATTGGGGTGATAGGAGGGAGGGGGCATAAGGGACCTCGCAGGGGGAGGAGCTGGGGGGCCAGGGGCCCCCCACTTTTTGAAAAATAAATAAATAAAATTAAGTAAAGTGGAACCTTTATATAAAGAAGCGCCAATGGGCTGGCAAAATATTTTCGTTATAACGAGGTTCTTTATCATATTGCCTTATATTTTAATATTACTGGAGTCAAAAAAATAGTAATAAAATAGCGCGTTAGATCGAGGACTTTGTTATAGAGGTTCTACTGTAATATACATTTTCATAAAAATGGTATCTTTGTTGGAATAAGAATCTTCCAGCATCTAAATTTATTATTGGTCCGTTTTGATCCCATCAGTCTGATGCGTAGTAAGCTTCAAAATGCCTAACTTCAAGAAACTGCACTTAGTCCAAGACTTCTGCATTTTCAACTAAAATCAGCAAGGATATGTAGCATTTGCAGCGATGCGGAATAGTCTTTTTTGACGAAGGTTCTTACTTAAATCTGAAGAATACTCCAGGAACTACGGTTTCTTAAACCGAATTATATCGGCTGATGAAGTGGTCTCTGACACATTTCCATAACATACTAGATAAAATGAAGGGGTTACAGGAACCTACAGTGTAATATCATGATCTGCGAACTTCTAGTGGTGGATCCATCATGTGCAATCACGCTCAGCAGGAGAAAGGTACTTTTCAGCGGCTTGAAATTTATAAACATGACTCAGCTCAACAATGACTCAAGACAGTGACAGTTCTAAACAGCCACAAAGAGAGAACAGCCAAATTTGCTCCTCCCGCCCCCACCTCAACGTAGGTGGTTGTTTGACCATGCACCGGCCCCCGCACTTTAAAAACTGCTCCGCGGGCCCTGGGCATTGCTTGCAACAGCCCTTAGTTAAAGCGGGGGATCCATTTATATGTTTTAGGAATACGAAACGTTTTCCGTGTTTGCATAGCCTGATACAAATACGAGAGGGGTTGGAAGAATTTGATACAATTATTCGATTGCGAGTAGCATGTTGTTACGGTGGTGGTTCGGCAAAAAGAGAGGACAAAGCTCTATCCTCTCTCGTCGGTATTAAAGACAATACTTACACGTATCTTGAATTTATCCCTCCTTACTACTTGAATAACTGTTTTGCCACTTTTATGCTGAATAATTTAAATTCTTTGCTATGCATAATATTAGGGGTCCTTAGTCAAGAAACATTATTGAAACCTCTGCCAAGTCGACTTTGATTCGCGCCTCAATTACTCACAAAAGCAGAATCCCTATAATATCGAGTACCTGTGCATGTCTTTCCATCCCTTTGAAGTTCAAAGTTTGCAAAACAGTCACAGTTTGGCTGATTATTAGCATCCTTGAAACACACATGGTCACAGCCAAAATCTGGAGAACAGGGGTTTGTTGCTAAAAAGTAAGAAAAACAAAACTATTGTGATCATCTCGTTCATTTTATCACTCGTCATTGGTTCAACGGTTACATATTCACACTTTCAATTTTGCTATTAGAAGAAAAGCTCTCATGGCAAATTAATAAATAGGTTTTATTACAAACAAAGAAGTACGATGCATACCTACGCACTTTCTCCAGTCTGTTGGATCTACCACGAAAAACTGATTACATAAACAGTTAAAGCTTCCCGGCGTGTTATCACACTGGTGCATGCAGTCATTTGATGGCTCGCATTCATTGATATCTATACAGTAAATAAAGACATTCCAATGAGAACACGAATAGTTTACCGGCAATGTAATTGATTGCATAGTCCGCATTTTTAGGGTGTATCCACATGAGTCCGTTACAGTTTCTAAACAAAGAGAAACATTAACAGGCTTTCATCCCCAGATAAACGAAGGGGGCAACGTCAAAATTACGGGTCTTCATTCGCGATGATAACAAACGTTAGCGAAGAAATTACTTTTAAATAACGCAGTCACAGCTTCTTGGCAAACAAATATTCCAAAAAAGTCCCAAATATTTCCGAAGCATTATATCAATGCTAAAAACCACAAAACTACAATCAGTGCAATCCATTGCAATCTTTTTCAAGTTTGTAAGGCCATCCTTGCCTTTTTTGTATTTGCTGCACTGTCGCCGTTTTTGTCTCATCACGCAACACAGACAGAAACGACTGCGAGGGAGGCTAAGGTACAATATACCTTTGAAAACTTTTTGGAAAGACATCCAATTTTAATTGGATAATGTTTGGTCATTTTGTGAAAAGAATGTGCTAACAAAGTTATCTTAGTAGGAAGTCCCATACCTTCACAGCTTCGTGTATTCGCTTTAATTTTGAATCCATTGGAACAAGTACAATAGTAGGATCCCGGTGTATTGACACAGATTTGCTCGCAGTTGCTTGTTTGACATTCGTCAATGTCTAAGGAAAAAGTCCAATAATGTAAACGCTAACAGGTTGTATACTAGAGAAGTTTCCTTAAGTGGACTATTAACTAAAAGTCTTTTAATATGCATACCGCTTTAATATGTTGTTACAGCATTTCCCAACATGGTAGGTGCTTATTCCTTCTGAAAGGACTCAATTTTTTTAATTCTTTCAACTCATTAGCTGCTCGGAATTCATCTCTTTGCCAGAATTAAGTAACGCCTTTCGCAGTTATTCGAGCCGTTTTCTGGTCTGCGCTGCCTTCAGCCCCTGATGCTAAAGTTAAGTATTCATTACGCACAACGCAAATTTTCGGCTTCTCTCCTCCCTTCTTCTTTCTCTTTTCTGGCTCTGTTTTGTCTTTTAAGATGGGCATTTATGCATCAGTCAATTCCACCTGCTCCCAGCCACCCCCCCCCGGCTGACCCCCTGGCATTGCATTTTCTTTGCCTTGGATGGCAAATTCCCGGGGGTGGGGACTCTTGAGCTGTCAAATCCCCCAGGTGGGGACGAAAAAAGAGGGCAAATGCCCCGTCCTCCGTCAACAATTCAACATTTTTCATTGATCGCACAGTCAAAGAGTGCCATTTTAAGCATTTTAATGAGCGATTTTTTTGCAATTAATGTCTTCCATTGTAATAGCGCGAGGATTCTAATTAAGACTTCACGCCGCGACGACATACACCAGTTTATGGTTTTAGTATTGATATAAAATTATTGACATTAAGGTTAATAGAGTGCTGTAAACTTATATGTTATGAATAGTTTTATAAATATGAAAGGATGTTCTTCAAATAATATCAACAGAAATTTGATTCAATAACCAAAAAACGTTGATTCACATCGATAGCTCCAATTTCACTATGTAATTCGAATGTAATTCTGGCTTGGTAAACAAAGAAGAAATGCGTGCATACATGTAAAATCGAGAACATGCTTTTACAACCCTCTACAATTTATTCCTATCCTTGACAGATGAACCAATCTGCTTTTTTTCCAGTGAAACCTTCGGTGTAGTAATATTCTGATAGGAAACCGCGTGCCTGTCAAAAGCTCGAGAATGGCCCGGGGGTTGGCAAATGCCCGTCCCCCGGGCAGTGCAAAATTTGCAAATGCTCCACCCCCGGGACTAACAAGGCGGGCAATGCCCCGCAGTAGCCCGGGGGGGGGGAGGCTGGGCGCAGGTGGAATTGACTGATGCATTACTAGGCTTTATTTCGTTCTAAAGAGGTCTCTTGAAGTAATACTGGCATGCTTAATAAATTTTCACGGCTATGTGGTTCTGGTTTAACTTCTCTATTTTTTTCTCTCTCTTTAAACGCTTTATCATACATGCACATAATCAAAATCAAAGGAAAATAAAATTTTAACCGAGGATAAATTTGAATCACAATAGCCATACCCACCTAAACATTGAGCGCCATCTCCGGTAAATCCTGTTGGACAGGGCCCACAAGTATATCCACTGACATTTGCTGGTGGGGGAAGATCAGTACATCCAACTCCTTCGTAACACGGTTGACCATTCAATTCGCAGGCATCAATTTCACTTTCGCAGAACCTTCCCGTATAACCTCCTTGGCATGCACATCCCATGTAAATAAACTTGATGTCGGTGTTGATGGAATCACCCTCTTCTGGCTCTATGCACTGTCCACCGTTGTTGCAGGCGCACATCCTAATTGTTGGATTCCAAAGTGCGCTGGCACCTTTGTCATCAGTAGCAACGATTGATAGATTGAACTGACCAGAGAAAAGCAACAACAAAGACAAAAATTAAAAATCTGAATTTAATTTTTTGGCTAGGTTGTGACAGCAGTTTGAATAAACATTATCATTTTCGTTAACTACGAGCTTTAAAGTATAAATTACCGGTTAAAAAAATCTTTTATTGGTAAAATCATCGTCAAATATGCATACAAACTCGACAAACTTGAAAAACCCTCTCAGTATCCCTACCCCATTATGGTCAATTCTGCGACCATATTACAGACCCCGATCTCAGTCACTTTGGGAAAAAAAGGAATTTTTGCAACTCCAACTTTCTGTTTATGCATCTACATGTACCTTATAAAGCCTGAAATGAACTGACACATTTGATATTAATGTGGTGTAAGACTTTCTATTTTTAAATCCCTAGTTACCTGAATTTTCTGACCCCCAAAATCCTGAAAATGTGCGACCCCATTCTAGTAACTCTTATTAAAAAGTAGCCCCATAATAGTTAATCCAGTCGTGAAAATGCTACCCCATCCAGCGACACATACCCATTAACCTACTACTAGGAAGTACTCCCCCCCGGACTCCAGGGCAATTGCCTTCGTCTATGGCAACCTCGTTCCCAGGGGCCTCCCCTTCCCATCCCTACCGCTAAGAAAGAGAACCTGGGAAATAAGCTGTGTCTATGGTTGAGGGAGTTCATAATGAGGTCATACAAACAAGTCTGTGATTGTTGAGGTGGTGCTGATATAGCCTTCCCCCCCGCCTCGTTTAATACCACAAATCACTTCCATTCATTTTATTCTCATTAGTTCCCTTCATGCCTGAACATTCTACGAAGAGCGGTTAGAGTTAACTCTCCTCCTTCTTTCCTATAATATACGCCACTCGTTGTTTTGGTTTACTGTATCGTTGAGTGTCTTACATGTTGTTTATTTGAGTCGTGTTACGGGCTCGCCAAAATACAAACAACCAATAAGAATACTCAGCGATACTATAAACCAAAGCACCTCACAAACTTTTTAGTGCGCTTTAGTTTTCGTAACACTGGTCCTAATCTCTGCTGTTCTTCGGGTCGTCACGCAAGGATCCTCCCCCGTGGACCGTTGCGTGACAACCCAAAGAATGTTTGTGAAGCAGATTACACTGGGTCGCGCTGATTGTAGCCTGCGAAAACATCCGTTTCTCCTCTCTCTTCGTCGCTGGAGCCGTTTCGCGAGGAGGAACGTCTGCGACTCAGCGACAGAAATTCCACACTTATGACGCAAATCAATGTTTACATAATAAATCCGGTAGTCATGGGGTTCCAAATACAAATTTGTCCAATTTTACGTGTCTTCTGGTCGATTTTGATAAAGTGTTGTGTTCATCTGCCAACGAGTTCCAGCAAAACTCAAACGCTTCTTCTAGAGAAGAGTATATTCCACAAATATTGACTGTTTTTCTCGAGATTCTTCGCGTTTACATTTGACCTCTGTGGCCTTTTGTCTTTTGTCTGTCATTCGTAAACAATAGCTAAAACAATGTAACTACTCCGTCGACCAATCAGCGCTTCTGACCGGATTCCGGACAGATTTTACGTCATCAGTATGGAATTTCTGTCGCTGAGTCGCAGACGTTCCTCCGCGCGAAACGTCCCCAGCGGCGAAGAGCGAGGAGAAACGGATGTTTTCGCAGGCTGCGCTGATTTTTGTTTAAAGTTATGTACCTTTTGTGACGACGTTACATTCCAAGAAAAGTAGAGCACGTTTCCACTTTGTTTTTTAGTGGCACTTTCAGGTTTGTTAATGACTTCAAAGTTTACAGTGTCTTCGTCCTCCGCAGTAATATTAAACTGAACATTGCCATCAAGCGTTGCATTTATTACATCCGAAGCACTTACTATCACTGGTGGAAAATTTTCTACAGGAAGAGAACAAAATATTGTAGAATATTGTTTTCACGAACCGTCTGTTTCTCGACGATGCCCACAAATATTGACTTTCTTTTCCCTTATAATTTTTACCCTTGGTTTTCCTCATTATTCAAAACAATTCTCTTTCTCTTCCCTGGATGGCTACTGTTTGCCACAATTGTAGATCACCATTAAGATGAATTCAACTAAGATCTTGGTTTTAGGAAATAATAAAGCACAAACACATTAAGGAAACACCTGCCCTTCTCCGTCCGATGTTTTCAAATTGTCAACCACTTCAACCAGGGACAAACATGCCCGAAAACATTTCTGTTACAATTGTTACAATTGCACCTAACTAGAAACATTGTATCAAATTCCGCTGGCGAAGTAATATTTGTTTTAGTTTAAAAGGATTAGAAAAAATCGAAACATAACATAAAAGTCGAAAGGTAACATTGGAAACCCTCCAAAGCCACACCCTATGGAGCGGTACATTCCTACTTAGCCCATATATGGTAGTACCCCCCACCCCCCACTACTTAGCAACACAATTCTACGGGTGACTTACCGAGGATGTTTGTTTCGTTCTCAAACTGAGTATTTATATCTTTGGTTACCAGTCCAACGGACACGTCGTTGGTGGCTGCAGCGTCGAATAAGCACTCGATGTTATCTCCACATCGAGTCGTGGCCTCTCTCTCCACAGATGCGTTAAACCACGTTATGTTTTCAATGAACATGGGCAAAAAGTCCGGTTTCGCAAAGGTATCTACGCTTTCATTTTGAGCATACGTAAACAATGACTGAGACTGATTGATTTGCCCTGAGAAAAAGAAAATAAAAGCGTTAAACAAGAAAGATGGGATTTTTTTTCTTCAGTACACGAGGACGAGGCAAGAAAGAAAGTTGCCGGACTAATTAACGTTTAAAGTTTATTGAAAAAGTAGCGCTGAACCTCCACAGGAATTTGATGCTAAAGGTGAAAGCACGCGCACGACACCCTTGCACGACACGCTTAGCGTGCCGTAGATCACGGATATGCGCATATTAAATTGAAAAAACAAAGACGGACACACTTGCCTTTGTTTTGGCAAATTTAACACGCTAGACCTTTTGTTTTTTGTAGCGTGCCATATGTCACGGTAAGTGTGCGAATTATAGCACGGTTAGCGTGCAATTTGGGTAAGACACGCTGAACACGCTTGATTACTAAAACCGCTAAGATGATAAAAATGGCTCGGGTTTTCAGCGGATTTAATCAGCATTGATAACTGGTCGAAGTGAATCAAATAATCCAATGGAGACTGTTTTGGAATTTGATAGTAACCGTGGCCATTTGAAAATCACGACTTAATGGTGGTCTAGCCTGGAATTAACGTGAGATCAGTGTAAACCAATTCCTCCGGCTGTCGGCTGTTGACTGGAATCGCAAAGAGGCCTGCTATCGCATGCGAGGCACTGAAGTTATGTCGCCTGAAAATTATAGTTATGCCACCGGAATATTTATTAGCAGTAATGCACAGAGAAATGAAGTTGAATAAATTAGTTTAATATATTTCTTTAAGCCATGCTGAGACGAACGAAGGTAATTAAATCGGAGAAACAAAAACTGCCTAGAATTTTCTATAGGTTGAGGAAGGCTAAACATTTCTAGATGACCGTTCCATGCATGTACAATTTTCGAAGGTTATCTAATAAATTCCTTACGATTTTCTGAAGTTTAATTTTTTCCATTTCATTCCCCAGTTAAGCTATTTTTCGTAGAGAATTAAGGAATCCTAAAATTTTCGGAACCGAAAATACGATAAAATTCTCACTTTCCTAAAACTTTCAATTGGAAGCTAAATTTCTCGGGAAAATAATGCTGAAGCCCTTGTAATTTCGAAGCGCTATCAATCATAATTTATGTGAAGATATCTCGTTACGTTATGCTAAGACGAATCAAGCGCTGTAAACGTGTACTATATCTCGTTCTTCACAGGACGAAAAAAACAAGAATCTCTGAACTAAAAACACTGTAGAATGAGGGAGGATTGCGGGCGACTTTTCTTTGAATTTTGGGCGACAAAACTCATATCATCAGGTTTTGGACGACATAACTTCAAACGACATCACTTTCGAGTAGCTTGACCGTCACCCCTTTAGATCGAGCTCGATGAATTAATTCAATGCCCGAACTTTATGGAACAAATGATTGCCTTCAAAGATTTCACGCGGACTACTTTTAATTTAGTTCTTTTTCTCTTTTCTCAGTGTGTGACTGACAGAGATTTAATTCTCGCATCGAACTTTAGTACTCTAAACACACCGTATTATCATGGCAAAAACAAAGAATCAAACAAAAAAGCACCATACAATTTCGGAATTCTGTTAAAAAATACATTTTTTGCTTACTATTCAAAAAGCGGTGAAACAGTCATTAATTAACTGATGTTTCGCTTTTTGTGTTATTGTCGGCCGGATCAATTAAGCAACGTTGGAAACGTTTTGGAATTTTGGTACATCTAGAAAAGCAGGCTGGTTTTCATTTGATCACTACGATCGTTGCAATCGCTAAAAAATAAATACAATTTAGTGATCCTGGCACTTGATGATTTCTATTATATTTGATCGCGATTGCTGCGATCGGCAAGAAAGTGTCTTAAGTTCGAAAGATCACTGTTTCTGAGAAAATTGCAAATGTGTTTTAAATTAAGGAAAGTTAAGATAACCTTTGCACAGCTTCGTCAGTAAACATTTCTGGAAAGAACTTTGATTTTGCAATGCTAATATAGTTCTACCCATAAATCCAGTAGGTCACACCGTTCACTGTTTATACTTTTCAAGCGACAACGTTTTTTCAATCAGATACTATCGCTGCGATCGCTGAGGAATAACTTTTTCTTTCTCGATAGTTGCCAAAAAAGGGTGCCGTTCATAATCATTTACGGTTCCTTTTTGTAGAGGAAATTTATTTAGCTTATAGATAACACGCCTTGCGTGCTTTTGCGCACACTGAAAGCGTGTTGTGCTTTTTCGCACGGAGCTTTTGTTTGAAAACTTTAACACGCTCTTTTGTTCGACTTGCTCACGCTTAATTGTCTCAAGCGTGTCCTCTGAAACAAAAGAAATTGCTAATGAGGCAAGATTACAAGCGTGCTAAAGCGTGTTAAAATAAATTCTTTTGTTTTAAAGTGAAAGCGTGTCGTGCGCGTGCTTTCACCTTTAGCATTAAAATCCTGTGGAGGGTCACATTTTATATATGTACCTCTTTGAAAAAACGTTGTCGCTTAAACTGAGCATAAATCATGAATGATGTTGCTTCAAGAATTTACGGGTATATGTTCATAAGCAAAGCAAATGAAAGTTCTTTCAACAGCAGCTGCTCGTGCGGATCCAAATCCTAAGAGTACTTTGTTTAAGGCATGCCGTTGTCTTTTATATGTCTTCCAAGAAAGCTTTTAGGTCCTATCTATCATTTTCAAGAGTGAGTTAGCGATATGGCTACGCTCTTTAACTACAGTGCAACCCCGCCTTACGGCCACCTCGTTATTACAGCCACTTTTTTTCGGCCGGGCAAAGCGGCCATACATTTCCTTATTAAAAAAATCCGAAAATGCGGTCACCCATTAATACGGTCAACCGCAACATTTTGAAATTCCAAACAGTAGAAACTCTGAATCATTATACGTTTCTGGAAAACTGCCCACCTACCCCTCCCCTAAGCCAACATTTAACCCTGAGTGAGAACACTTACTTCGCACTTAACGTAAAATGTTGGCTTAGGGGAGGGGTAAGTGGGCAGTTTCCCAGAAACGTATAATCTTATAATTTCACCCCGCTAATACGGCCACTTGTTCGAAACTTAGAAAATTAAAATGCCTGTGACATGTCAATTTTATTGACCTACTACTCTGAGCCTGTTCTCGTACTGTTTTTAGACTACAGAACACATAAAGTGCACTAGTTGGGATTTAAAAAGTATTTTCTGTACTGAACGAAAATTTTAGGTAGTTTATTTCAATTGCAAAACACAATATCTACATTCCGTTTGTTTATTAATGAGAACAGTTCAAGAAATGCAAATGCAATGTAAGGTGTATTCGTCATAACGGCCCTCAAGTCATCAAATTTGAGCCTGCCCAGGTGATACGGCCAAAACTTTTTGACCGATTGGTGACCGTATTAACGAGGTTCCACTGTACAGGGATCTTGACCTTTTCTGGAATGCATCGGCGCGGAAAGCTTCGATAATATAAACTTTTCTGGAAAGAACTTCAAATTTGCAATGCTAATAAAGTTCTATCCATAAATCAATTGGGACCCATCGGGCATGGTTAAACGACAACGTTTTTTCAGTCAGGTGTATATAATTATGTAATAATAATGATAATGATAATAATAATAATAATAATCATAATAATCATAATCATAACTATAACAAAATCCTCAAATCTGATTGGTTCTCAACTGCCCTGATTTCAGCCTTAATAGGACAGTTTAATAGGACAGTACCCGTCATGCCTAAGTAATTGGACAGTACGCGCCATCACGCGCGCGCTTAAATGGCTTTTTTTTCCTTGCTAGCGAAAAAATCTTGGAATTTCTAGTGTTTTGATTTAAAAAGAGCCCTATATATCACAAATTTTGTTAAAGTTATGATTAATTGGTAACAGAACTTCGTGTCGTCCAATTCGGTCTGTAATCATACTCGTGATTAAACAAATCGGACTCCCGCTATGCGGTCGTCCGATTTTGTTAATCACTCGTATGATTACAGACCGAATTGGACTCCACTCAGTCCTGTTACCATTACTTATTATTATTATTATTATTATAATTACAAAAGTAAATTACAATTAAAAGTTTTTAACTTTGACAATTTTATATGTAGAAGAATGTCAGACCTCAACGAGGTAACATTTGCCATAAAATATCTTCCCATGTCACACCTAGGATGATGACGTCATCAGTCACGTGACTATTTCCGAATTAGGTTTTTTTGTTGCTGTGACTAGATTTCATTATTGAGTTAAAAACAAATAGCATATTTGAGGTTTTGGTTGTGTGGGGCATTTAAAAATAACCAGTTTACGTCCGGGGGTAATGAACATGAGCGAAAAAATCGGGAGACCAGGCCGAGAGCTGTAGATAGTTGACGTTTCATCACATGGCAGAGAAATTTTGCAGGAAACTAAAGGTGATGTTACACGAGACGATTCGCATCGACCACTTTTAGCGCAACACAGCGTTGCAATGTTGCAAAGCAGAAGCAAAGAAAACTAAGCCAGAAGTTTAAAAGTTGCGTAAATTGACCGATATTGCAAATTAAAATCGAAAAGGAGAACTACTCTTGAGACTTTGAAATCCTTTCTCAACTTAACTGTTTGTTTGCCGAAATAAATGTTCAATGTTTGTTAATAAAGGAGAACTTTAAAAACCAAAAGGATGTATTTGGCGGCCATATTGTTTTTCTTCATTCCGGGGAGAGAGGTCATGTAGCAGCTCTTCTAACCCTAAAAGCCAAATGGTTTTCTACCCTAACCTAAAACAATGGAAGTAATAATGAACAATGTTGTGTTAATGTTTTCCGCGACCGATGAAAAGACACCTTACGAGCAGGGAGAGTTGGTAGCCGCGCGATCTATAGTTCATAAATTTCTTAAACGTTCCTGGCATGGATCAAGCCTGAAAGAGTATTAATGGGTTTATTGTGAGCTTTAATTCTAGCTTCGATCAGTTGAAAAGATTAGGTGCTCGGAACTCATAACAAATTCCACGTTTGAAAGGGGCCTAACATGACATAAGCTTCAGCTTAGTGGTTTGAGGGCTGTTATTAAGTTGTTGTTTTCTTTTCAGTAAGAGCAATTCGTATCTCTCTTTGTAAATCCATTTTATTAATCGACTCGTGCCGCGACTTAAGAATGAGCTGTAATAATTGATTTTACTTTCTCTTTGACATGATTTGTACGTCACTGAACATGATTTGTATATCAAAAAGAGCGATCAATTTTCATCCATCTATTTCAATAAAAGCAAATGGAATCACTTCTCACTATAGCGGACAACCTCGAACCGTGACTTCGTCGTATAAATATGCGGCACCGAAGAAAGACGAAAAAGCTAACCCTTTTTGATCAAATTATTTTAAGGTTTAAACTCGAAGCTTCATATAGTGATGATTATAATTTACCTTTACCGGTATCACTTGTAATAATAATAATAATAATAATAATAGTAATAATAATAATAATAATAATAATAATAATAGTCCCTGGCAACATCAACATACATGAACTCCAGAAAATAACTCTTCTTTCTACAGCCCACCTTCTCAGGCGGGTCCTCTCTATCAAGTAAAAACTCTCTTTGCCTCCCAAAGTCCATGGTTTGGAGTCGGAAGTTGAGATAGAAAATCAATCGCAATTACACTAGTATATCTTATATAATAATAACAATAATAATAATAATTACAAATGGTTTTCAAGTAATCTGAAAGGAGAAACAGAGGGACTACTTGTCGCAGTTCAAGACCAGGCAATAAACACCAGAAGCTACCAGAATGTAATATGTGGCCAGCAAGTGGAGAGTAAATGTGTTCGCAACATGAAGAGAAAGTGGACCATATTATATCTGGGTGTGAGGTATTAGCCTAAACAGAGTACATCTCCAGGTATAATAATGCTGCAGCATATCCATTGCTCCATTGGAGCATCTGTAAAGATCATGATATCGAGATTACAGACAGGTGGTACAACAACAACAACATAACCATCATGTGGGACATGCCAGTCAATACTGATAGAACTATAACAGGAACAGACCAGACACCATTGTTAAAGATTCAGTGAATTCCACCTGCAAACTGATTGATATGACTGTTCCATCAGATAGAAACATCGCACTGAAGGAAACTGAAAAAAAAGCAAGTACAAAGACCTAGAACTAGAAATACAGAGAATGTGGCATACGAAAACCGTAGTGATCCCCTGTGGTTGTTGGTGCACTTGGTACAGTAAAGAAGGGGATGGTAGAAAAGATCAAGAAAGTATCAGAGGGAGCTACTGTGACAGAGATCCAAAAGATCTGCCTGCTGGGATCTGCGCGAATCCTCAGAAAGGTCCTCAGTGTATGAACAGAATGATTGACTTGAGTGACTGATGCTCCAGGTGCATTGTTTGCGCCCGGCTGATGCACGAAAAGAACACCAGCAAAGACTATCATAGAAGAGACAATAATTTATTTAATTATTTATTTATTTATTACAATTTAATGGCAAATAAATCTAAATGTAAGCACAGACAAAGCCCTAAGGATAATCTGTAAAAGAGTGGAACACTCCATGCGAGACAGATCACCATGTAGCTAATCTAAATAAAAAAATAAATATGTAATAAAAATCAGAAAAATATTAAATCAAATATAAAAACATTAAAAACTGTTTTCATTCCTGACTTAAAATAATAATAACTGATTGATGTTGACTGTTCCATCAGATGGAAACATCGCACTGAAGGAAATGGAAAGGACAGGCAAGTACAAAGACCTAGAACTAGAAATACAAACAATGTGGCATATGAAAACCGTTGTGATCCCTGTGGTTGTTGGTGCGCTTGGTACAGTAAAGAAGGGGATCGTAGAAAACATCGAAAAATTATCAGAGAGCTACTGTGACAGAGATCCAAAGATCTGCATGCTGGGGTCTGCACGAATCCTCAGGAAGGTGCTCAGTGTATGATGATGCACAAAAAGAAAACCAGCAAAGACTGTGACAGAAGAGATAATAATAATAATAATAATAATAATAATAATAATAATAATAATAATAGTAATAATAATCATAATAATAATAATCATAATAACAACTCACATTTAACGCCAAAGTCGAAGTGAATTTCCCTTGAGGTTGAAGATGGAGACAATACCGTCCCATCAGGCAATGTGAAGTCGTCATTAGGATAATCATTCCAAGTACCCAGTAACCCCCTGGTGCTGTTTCTGTAATCTTCGCTAAGAGTAACCACAAAGGACAGCATTTCTCTTTTCTCGCAGAACTGCACGGACGTTGTTGAGGGAAAATAAACCTCTACACAGTTTGCTTCTGGTTTCGAGAAAGAAAGGTTTCCGCCGACTTCTATGGTTTGATTCGTCAGGTTGGCGTAGTTAGGGTAAATTGTTTCTTCAATCAAAATGTCGATTCCACCTAAAAAAAAAAAATAAAACGTTTAAAAGTCATTAGGTCTTTGGATATTCAAAAAGGCTGAATCGCTGAGCACACAGTGAGCAAAGTGTGAATTTTGTGGCCTTAGTGTGACCGATCAGAAAAGAATAATCAGGTCATTCAGTCAATCTGACTGCTCCTGTGTATCCCAGTATGTCTCACCTCCTTTCTTGACTTTTACTTCAACGATGCTTGTGTTTTCTTCTTTAGCAGCACCGGCTGAGAAAATTGTGGCATTAGTTGAATTTTGTTGGGCAAGGCGTGTCCTAGCTTGTAATTGGAATACCCCATCTCGTGCATCGATCATTACATATTCACCAAGGCCGTTGAACGTATAATTCCCACCATCTAGTGTCTTAAAATGAGGATCACCCCAGAACCAACCTGGAACAACATAGCAAGTTATTAAGGGATTAAATGAGGAGAAACAGAGTAATCGACCTTTTAAAAGCTTTACCTCTTAAGATACTGAACAGCTCCTGGCAGTAAACGTGGTTTTGGGCAGTGAAGGAAATACGCGAAATGCATTTTGAGCATGAATTATGCTAAAAATACATTGACGATGTAAATACATTGGTACATTTCACAAATTCGATCATTATAATTGTCTCCAAAAAATATAATTTGTAATAAAACAGCTTTAGGAATGTCTCAGAGTCTCTCTGTAGATTCAGACGCTGCACTTTTGCCGTAGTTAATTCATCAGTTAGGTTCGGCACATGAGTAGAGCGCCGTCTAAACCGGGCCTGACTTTCTCGGAAATAAATTATATGTTGTTATTTTCCTGTAATCCGAATTGCCAACTTTGTCTAGGTGGCCACAATTATAGTAATCGCACTGAAGCTTCTAAGCATCAGTTTCTAGAGATTTTAAACAATTTTTTTAGGCTCTAGATACGAAAAAAAATTAACCTCGATACTCTCTTTTCAGCCTCCAATAGCACTAAATAAGGGGTAGCACAACAACAAAAACTTACGTCTCCTACGAGGTCTGTAAAAAGAGCAATCATCACTTGGGCGATAAAAGTAATATTCATTGCACAAATCTGGATCAGCACAGCAAAACGTTTCGGCGTCTTTGTCTGTTGTAACGTCTCTCACGCTAAAAAGTCGTTCCGCTATAACGTGACTTCCGTCGGGGGGACCAGTTATAAGGAAACCAAGGTCACTGAAAGGGCTCGAGTAACAGCAGAGTTGTCTTATCCGAAAAACGACAAAGCCAAGATCATCACTGATATGAAAAAAGAACCTAGAACTTCTGGATCTAAAACAAAAGTTTGAAGAAGAGTATGAAAAGTCCCGAAAGAATCGTCCCCTGTCCAGACGTGCCTGCCATATAGTGCACGGACATGCCAGATGCCGGTTAAAACGTCGAGATCGAAACTGCTGAGCATACCAAGACCTAAAATTCACGTCGTCTTGAAAAGTAATCCAATCGATGCACTTTTTTATGTCACTGTCTCTTTCCTGGTTTTCTATTCTCCAAAAATATCTGCCCAACGTGCCTGTATTTCCAATCCTGTTGTCCAGGTTATACATTCCTAGCAAAGAACCTGACCTGTATAAAACAATAGTATAATATTTTGTGTCTATCAGATGTTTAGCGATCACAAAAAAGTTGATTTTTTTTAAAAAAACATTTATTTGGTTACAACACTTCTAATGAAAGTTCTAAAAAGTTGAATATTACAGCACA